GACGTCGACTTTAGCTAGGAGGGACACCCATATCACTATGGTTTTGCGCGCGAGCAACTAGCACGAATATCGATGCACGTTTTTTTAGCCGGGCGCGGGCCCGGGCTCAACCTAAGTCTGACTTGGGTTTGATTCAGGCTGGACATGGGCTAATTGACTCAGCTTATATGATTTTAAATTTCAAATTTATCATTTATTTCTCCCCATTAAACTTTTCCAATTAACCTGTCGGCCTGAAAGGAAATCATTAATTTCCCCGCCCAACACAAGCTTAACGGTTATTTTGGAATTCGAGGGATAGAAATCCCGCTCGGGCTCGCCTTCTTCCTATGGAACCTCTCCTCCTGCTCGCCGAGGATTCCTCTCTCTCGCTCGCCACCTGATTTAATTAATTGGAAGATATAGAAAACTCTAAATCACCTTAAGCATAAGTTAAAGTGTAGGTTTCCTACACTGCACAAAAGCCTCGCCTCCCTCGATCTCGCTGATCTCCATTCGCCTGGTCTTCTCCTCTGCCATTCACGAATGCCTGCTCCTCCCTCTCGGGTGCGCGACAGAAGAGTCGCTCGACCGCTCGCCTGATTCGTTCGCAGCTCCAGATCGAAGCTCCCGTTCGCTTCCGCTTGTTCTCTCCCGTCTCCCGCACATCCCGCCCCTGCGCTCCCCCACCTCCCGCACCGAAGCCTCTCCCGCTCGCGATCGAAGCACCTCTCTCGTTCGCTCCCAGACTCTCTCCCCGCTCCGACAAATACGGCTCCCCCGCTCGCCTCCGCCATCTCTTCCTCTGCACTGAAGATCCTCGCTCGCCTCTCTCCCTCACGGTAAATCCTGCACAGCTGCTTCGATTCTCCTTCACCCTCCGCACCTATTCCTCTCTGTATCGAGGCCATAGCCGCTCGCCTCCCTCATCTCTCATGTCGTACAGCTCCTAACCGAACTCACAGAGGAAGGAAATCTCGTCCGTTAGCTGCAGCGGGGAAGGCAACAACAATATCGCAGTACAAATTACATACATACATCAATCTTACTGCTACATCTACTCCTTTTGTTCCGTTCCTATCAAAAACCATTTATTGAGGTAAATCTGTTTGTTAGAAATAATATATTAAATTTTATTGAGGTTTTGGGAATAGGATTTCGAGCAGGATAACTTGTTCGA